GGATCAATTGATACTGAAAAATAACGAAATCTGCAATCATACAGATCGAGATGTTATGGTTGTGGGGATGTCCGTTTCTGACCACCTCCTAACTCAGCGCGGCTTTCACCCTCGACTGTTTGTCTTGCTTCCATCTGTCTCTTTGTGGACTTGTAATATATTGCGTACAAAATTAACTGCCCCAAGCCCAACAATGTTCCAAACCCATTTGTAAACTGTAAAAAAAATGTAAATCATGAAGCAAAGAGAGTGAGTAAAAAGGAGTCAATATATATTTATATATATGAAAAAAGTTTTTGTCAGTTTTATATCTTAAAAATTAAGAAAAAAATTATTCTAAAATTAAGTCATTTTAATAATTTTTTATTAAAAAAGATTAAACTTTCTTATTTTTAAAACATATATTAAGGTGATTTCTGTCTTTTTTTCTTTCTAATTTTTTAGAAGTAAGACGGACAAACACTAAACTCTATATATATTTAATTACTTACACAGATGAAAGGGTTAAACGGGAATAAACCGTAACAAGTCCAGGCACAAGAACCCACAAAGGAAACCAAAGAGTAGGATAAGGGCATGTCTTCCACACTTTTGGTCCTTATCACCCGTTTCTGATCATCATCAACAAAACAAATTAACAAATATATATGTACTCATTAAAAGCTAGCGATTAATATTAATATATATTATGAATCATATATGTGGCGTACTGACCATGACTGACAAGGCCGAGGCGTACACCATGATGCTTGTGACACTGCCGATGATTCCAACAGCCAGAGAACGGCGCTGTAAAAGAGTGAGGACAATAACAGTGAGGACGACGACCAATATGAGCTCGAGGAGCACCACCAGCCCCACCTTCAACCTCTTATTCCTATCGGAGTAGATGAGAAAGAGGATAACGAAGAAGAGTGCAATGATGCCGACGGTGACGTTGCCGATTAAGAGGAGGGTGCTGTTTGTTGGGTGCACCCAGGGCAGCGCAATCAGGATCCGGACCATCTGGTTCATTAGCATCAGCAAGTATGGGGTTGGCGAGAATTGTTCCACTGCCTTTCTCTTGTAAAGTCGAATAAAATTTTGCCAGCAGCAAATTATATTAATTAATTTCTCATTAATTAACAACGTCAACAAATGTTGATATGGAAAATCAGTCATCACGAGCGAGGGTAGTTTAATTAAGAATATTGAAGACGGAGCATTAATTAATACGGAAATTAACATTTAATCTAATATATTACGCACGCCTGTGACAAGTAGAGGAAGACTGCTGTGATGTTTCCTGGGAATCAAATAAATGCCACACATGATCAGAATTAAACAACTAATTAATTAATCAATGAGAAGACATATTTTCTGAGAATTGATAAAGGAAATTCAATGATTAATGAAAAGAAGACCTACCAACAACAGCAGCCACATTTCGAGCAATCTCAATTTTGGCTGTATCCATGGATTGATGCAAGAAAAAGATAAAAGGCGAGAGCTTCTGGTAAAAAGAAATGGAGAGAGTAGAGTAGGGTTTGGTCTATCTTATAACAGAAAAGGAGAGAGAGACAGAGAGAGATAAGAGGGAGAGCTTTGAGCTTAAATGATCAGACCTTGAAATCTTGTTTAAAAAAAATCGAACTTTTTTCACTCGAATCAATAAGTCACTAATATATGCATTGATATGTTAATAAAAGACTAATTTGCTGCAATTTGCACGGTGTAAGGGCCCTATTAGCTTGTTTTTTAATTTAGGGGAATTATGTGCTAAAATGGGGTAAGTATAAGAGTTTATGAAACGGTTTTGCCACTTA